CTTCAACCAGATGGTTTGGGGATTCGTGACCTCTGTAAGAGGAAATATTAAGTGTACCTGGTAATGTAACTAACCAAAATGCCTTGCTTTGCGACAATATTTGTCTCTGCAAGTCCAAAGCAACCTCAACAGATAAACTACTAGAGTGCCACCGCACAGACTGTAAGAATAGTAAATTTTTTCATTTAAGTTGTCTTATAAAAAAAGGATGCCAAACAATTGTAAGACTAGCTGACAGTACTGTGTGTAAACAGCCAAACAGGTCAGTGCCACCATGTACTTCTTCAACTCAGTGGAACAGTTTCATCATTACCTGTGCCATTGTCTGTACCATCAACATCCAACATCCAAACTGATTCTGTTAGTGGAAGTGATGATGATTTTGAGATCAGGTGAAATTGACAAACAGAGTGCTTTGGCAAATCTTACACAGATTCAGGCTACCAACCCAGAATTGTCAAAGTGCCCAACATGGGACACAGTTATGACTGGAGGTTGATCTGTTTCAGAATCAATAATTATAAAACTGTATTTCCTTGAAAAATAGCTGGGGCAATAATGTTTATGTGCTTCCAAAGGGGTATAGGTAATAATTATTATTTGCGGCAGATTTTACAGTGTACCAAGGGAAATTATTTTGAAAAATAAAAAAGGGGGTACATCATTCCACAGCAGGTTATTGAAAGGACAGCTATTCTTTGATGAAATATGTTTTTAGAAAATATTATGCTAAGGGTTTGGTCTTAAAGGAGAACTCCCGGGTAAAAAAGACCTTTTTCTAAATGAATGGCCTACATTAGTTACCACTAATTTAAGTGACTGTTTGTTATAACGAAGATATTTCACCTGAAAGAGGAATTAAAAATGCAAATAGCATTCCAACATCTTGAAAAATGTTTGCCTGCTCAGAAATGGGTCAGCGTTTTCATTTTTGAACTAATGGTGATCAGATCAGCATCTAATTGCTCATTGTTGATAAATGTACATAATATTGTACTCATGAGAAAAACATGTCACTAGAATCCCGGTTTCTCAGTCCCTTGATTTCTTAAGCCCATAATTTTACTCCTGATATCTGGAAATCCTGATTGCTTGAACCAGTTATTATTTCCCTTGTGGGTTAAAAAAATCAGGATTCCACTGTAGATACATACATACATAAAGTTTGTGGCTCGATATCTCCGTAGAAGAGTGCTCAGTACATAAAGTAGAGTGTGAAAAATATTGTTAGCGGAAAAATAACATTTCTATCCCTACAAGCCTGTTTCGTGATTGCTCACAACATACATACATACATACATACATACAATTGTAAACAATGTGCCCTCCCGGTTGTCACCATAATGCCTTTATGGCAACTCCTGAACTTGTAGTGGAATGTTTTCTGCCCAGTGGCAGACCTAAATAAAGGGATATTTAGCATCCGTGAGTCTGGGTCTGCCGGTTACTTACAGTACTACGTAGAATTAATTGATCGCTAAGGTACCCAGGGGCTAGTCCCGACATACATTTAAAAGCTAACACAGCATCTCTAAAGTATAATATTGGTCTTTTACGGGTAACCAATTTAATGATTTAAGGATAGGTGTTACATGATCATACTTACGCTTTTTAGCAACGATACGTGCTGCAAAATGTTGTACTAACTGTAATTTAACTACATTCTTCATGGTAGTATTAGACCAAACAGAAGAACAATAAAATAACCTGCTGAAAACTACTGCATTAATTACGGGTTTGAGTGTTTTTGCTCAAATACCTGTTTCACTGTCATCTCAAAAGACAATTTTTTAAAACTTTTCTTGTTGTTTGAAACACTAACAAATTATGTAATTAAAAGAAGTAAGAAAATTGATGACATGAGAGTCTACATCTTCAAAAATTGTCATTTTGAATCAATTAAAATGTTTTAGATATTTGTTAAGGACACATTCTTACTGACCTTCACCTACATTAAGTTACTGTTCACAGAAGCACATAATTATGTTAAACTTAAAACTGGCAATACAGTGAACTCTCTAGTAAGCAGGACACCCTTGGGACCAGCTCTAGCTGTCTGCCTTAATTTAACTGTAACTAAACTCTCTTTAAAAGAGAGTTTAGTTACAGATGAACAGCTCTAATTTGCCTGAGTTAGGACCAGTGAAAGCTGTCCGCTGCACAGAAGTGTCTGGTATACCGGGGTGTCCATTTAAAAGAAGATAACTGTACAACTGAAACTAGTCAAATGGTATTATAGGTGGGCATAAGTTAATAAGTGCGGAGCAAACCCTCACAATACGATCAATCATAGGAATCTGTGATGCAGGTGGTCCATTTGGGTTGCAAGCAAGGAAATCTGTTGGAAGTGTGCTTTCCAAAATGATATACTTGCGCCGCAACAACCCTATCACCCTCTCCACGTGGATACGAACACTTGCGATGCCTCTGGTTTTTTCCACATCAACTGGATCCAACTGGGATTTCCCCTTTGTGAAGGCTGGAATAACCAGCTTGGCTTGCTTTAAGCCAACACTTTCTACAATCGTGAACCCTCCATCAGCCATTACCATGTCTCCTGGTAGCAATTGGTCGAGAAATCCAGAATGCTCTGTCAGATACTTATCAGAGGTGCGGCCTCCCCAGGCTTCACTAACAAAAGACACAGTTCCTTGGGGTGTAATACCAATGAGAATCTTGATCGTATTGTGGTGTTTGTACGATGAAAATGTTTGTGCTCTGGCTAACAGATTTGACGGCCTTTCGATAAACACCTCAAAACAGTCAATGATTACAGTTACTTTCCTTCCAAATGCATGTTGAAAACACATTGGCATTGTTTTCCATAACTGCTCCCTATCTGGCCAGGAAACAAGAGGAAACAACCTGGTGTCCATAACAACCAGCCAGGAGGAAAAAATCCTTGACACAGTGGGCACAGATACCATGAAACGGTAAGCCAGATCTTGAAAGGGTACATTCAATCGCAGTTTCATCAGGACCATGACAAATTCCTGAAATCTGCTGAGGGAGTGAGTTTTGCGAGTGACATGTGGAGACACGTGTTCAAAAGCAACCATTAGAATCTCAAATGATGGCAGTCCCGTATAAAAACGGACCTTGTCGTCAGATTGAAAGAAATCTTGGTCGGGTGCTTGATATCCGCTGGGCCTGGAGAATATATATTCAAACTCTTCAGTCTGAGTTTCAGCGTCGACTGGTGGAAATGTGGCAGATTCTTCTGTCTGTGTTTCAGCGTCGTGAAATACAACCGCCATTGTTTCTTCATCGCTCGCACAAGCGGCTGAAGAAATATCAGGCTGTTGAGTATCAGGCTCTTCAGGCTGTATTTCACCGCTATGGTCTTCGACTATTTCGGATGAAGTACTCGTTGACGCTTCCCTAAAGTCCATGTTAGCAACCTGTTCGCCTCTTTGGTCCAAGAGCTTTCTTTTCCTTGCAGCTTCATTCTCTTGTCGTTCAATGACTCTTTTCCTTCGAGCCTTTGCTCTCTCGGCTCTTTTTGTCGCAGCCTCGACGTCTTTCTGTTTGTGTATTCGTTTACCTAAGTTTAAGGTCGGTATCCAATCGACGTTAAATTTGTCCCAGTTCGGTGACGGCCTTCCTGACACAAAGTGGCATTCACAAACTCGCTCGTTTTCCAGGACGTTCTTCGTATCAGTATCGTCTCGACTTATCGCCGAAATCCAACTATTTCTCCTCTCAGTGGTGAGATCTTCGAACTCTTCGCCTTGATGTTTAACAACTGATGGTATACGAAAAAATCCTTGGGTGTTTCCCTTTCCACTTTTCCTTCCACATCCAACGACAACGCACAGAACCATCTTGGTTTGTTTACACTTGAGGGACACCAACATGGCGGATAGCAACCGTTGCCAAGCGGTGGGTCACGTGGGTGAAAACCAAGAATATCATCCAAAGGAAGTTGTAAATACAGACATACATAGATATGTGTAAAATGACACTGACATGAATGAATGAGTCTCGTGAATGAATCTTTCACCCGCTCTCGACTTGACCTGTTTTGAGTAATGGCGGAGGTCTCTTCCGTTGACAAGTAGGCCATATATCCGTCGCTTATTTCTTTTTTTTTCTTGCCACCAATATCTGTTTTTACTTCTGTTTTACAGAATTGCAGTGAGCTGGCTTTCGAATTCGGTTTCAGCGTGAAGTTTGGGCCAACATGTTTGCCGCTTTTCTCCAGCCATCACCCACTTGTCGAGCTTCTGAGGCTTCGGCAACCTACAAAATCATCCTGTTTCCTTGAAGATATACGCGTCCCTTTTGATTGCAAACAGCAAATCAATACTAAACATTAAAAGCAGAAGACGTCCCACGTCATTGTATTTAAAAAGACGTCCATACAAAGTTATTTTAGGTGGAATCCGTGCTAAACACTCTGCAAGTTCACTCAAAGTCTTCATTTGCAATTTTTGCTTACCCTCCAACGCCTCGCTTTCATGACTAGGCACCAGTTTTTTCCCGCATGTCCGCCATTTGTGAATACGGTGTATACTGATAGAACTTTACATCCTCGTAAATAAAGATCTAAGGGGTGTTATTTGAAATGACTGACTTGGCTGTGTTAAGACAGCTGATTTGCTCAGCAACTTACACTGAACAACTTATTTGCTATGTACCTAAGAGAACTAAACAGAAAATTACTTCACTGATTGAATCTTATCCGTCATTCCACTCTTACCGAGTGGAATAAAATTAAATCCTCCTTGACCACGAGTTTCTGCCATGAATGAAGGTAATTCCCGAAAAAGGCAATTCCTTTGCCAACACGTCTACCTATATCACCTAAAAAGAGTAGAGGGAGTGAAACTTTAGGAGGAAAGTTTGAGTTAGTGAGTACAACCCTTGGAGAATCAACTCAAAGTGAAGCAAGTGCTAGTTGCGTGTCTGAAATCAGAGGCCATGAGCAAGCTCAATCTCCTGACAAAACATGTGCATGGATACCGTCTGCATGTCAGAAGCCAGCTTTCTTTTCACAGCTAAGAACAGAGTTTCCTTTGGTTGAAGAAGAATTGCTTTTATATTCGCTGACTGTCACAGCCTTTCCCGATAAAGGTTTCAACTTGAAACTTAAATCGAAGGAAAAGTACTACCCAATGGTGAATGCCATTGACAGTGTTTACCATGTCCAGTTTGATATTAATGACCTCCGGAACTACTTTTATCGTGTAACAAACAATTTAGTGAAAGGTCTTGGGATAGTGAATGGTACAGTGCACTGGATGTACTATAAAGAAAGTGCTGTTGAAGTTTTAAATGGCTTCAAACCCGTTTTGGAAGAATTGCTCATTGATTCAAATTCTGTGGAAAGAGATAGAGTTGAGAATTTGCGAAGTGTCCTAAGCAAGGAGTGTTCAAAACTGGTAGAATCCAGTAATAGTGCAAGTGCTGATGTAACAGTTGTGAGTCAAGATACAAGGAGTGGGTCAGAAATGTTAGATCTGGAGAATATTGAACAGGTTTCTATCCTCCAGAAATTCCTTCGGTGGAAAGTAAATTACAATGCAATCAGAAAGTCAGGCCACCTTTTTTTTTTCTCTGGTAATGACGGTTATGCGGAAGTAGAGATAATAATTAATTCTGACCAGTCATGGTATATTGTTTTGGATGGCAAAAAAAGAGACAGTGCAAAGATACTTGGAGAATGGGCAGACATACCTGGTGTTATAACTTTAGTCTCAGAACTACAGTTACTGATGTCCACAGTTGAGAATTGTCGAATTTGCAGGGGGTGTCCGTATTAAAATTTTAAAGATGTTGTTCCGGTTAATGAAAATGAACCAGTCTTTCATACAAAGAGTAATGATGGAGCAGCTTACATTGTGTGTAGGCGCTCTCATTTTCATGAAAAAATTATCAGATCCATGACTTGCGTGGTGTTTCTCCCTGGAAGTGATGACCTAGTCCACAAAAGAACAGTCTGTGAATTTTGCTTCAAAACAGAACACTATTTGCACACCTAAAAATCCAGATATTATCAGAAGTCACTGGATGAAAAAAATGATGAGTCCACTGCGAAACTAAAGCCAGGCCAAACGTTTGCAGTTATGTCTAAAGAAGAACTTCTCAAAATAACAAGACAACAATCCAGTGAGCTAAAGGCTCTTCATAAAAGGGTGAAGATATTAGAGGAGTGCAGGAAGAAAATGAGCGACGTTGGCGAAAAAACAGATGCAGATTTCCGATTTATCTTTGAGAGATAAGAGAAAGGAATGAGGGAAAAAAAGAAAAACTGAAAAATCCTGTTTGTCTTTGGTCGGGCTGTACCCGTAAATCATTTCCGGATGTTAAATGTTTGTATAGCCATGTAAAGGAACAAGTTCCTGACCCGGAAGCAAATACAGCACCAGTGGATCGTGTATATGTTTGTATGTGGAAGAACTGTAGCAAAAAGTTCAGCAAAAAAGGTCTCCTTCATAACCATGTACATGATCACACTGGGGGGATGCAAGACCAATTCTTTGAAGTTTTGCTTAAAGATCGAGCCAAAGCCCTCACCACGCCTTCACGACAAATGAGATGGCACCTTCTTGTAATTAAATGGTGTTTAGGAGTGTATTCAAAATCACATGCTTTGTATGACATCAGGGATTCTGGATTTCTCAAACTGCCAATTGGTAGAACTCTCTTGTGATGTTTTGAATGGATTTCAAAACAGGATGCAAACGACTAGCAACGATTTAATAAACATTTACAAGAAGACGTGTTACAGCATATGTGGACGCCATGATCGTTTTGCTACCTATCTCCCATAGTTCCTAGCGAACATCCGGTATCAATAACTTCCGGTTTACATGAACATTACATCTCTTTCTCCCTAGTGGGTAACTCTCTAGAATAATATGGAAAGAAATAAAATAAACTTCAGCTAATCAGTGTCCATGAAACTATGACTACTGACTGGAATCAAAGTCCAACAGAAACAAACGTTTTGTATAGGCGACAGCATTTTAACTTAACAAACTATACTGCCACAGTTCAGAGTTCACAGTTCAATAAGGATCTAGGCCTACAAATCAAGAATCTGGCGGGGAACTCGTTTCCTGGAAGATCTACGCAATGGTGGTTGACCAACCGGGTGAGACGCACTAGCTTGGCCCTCTGGGATAGGGCTAAATGAACTTGTAGGATTAGCTTGCACGCCAGGGGAGCTCTCAGGTTTTGATGCAGACGGGTCAGAAGCATGAGCACGTGTGCGTGCAGCAGGTAGCTCTTGTTGGTGTTTCATGTCAGCCGGAGAGCTGAGACCACTGTCATAGGACGGATCATCATCACGGTTGATGACTGACTGGTCCAGAGTTTTAAAGAAAGAGGAATTTCTGGTAACCGTGCGATTCTCATTTTGAGCTGTGATCATGCTGCCTTTCTTTTCCACTACAGTCAAGGGGGTAGGGTCGTAAACAGTTGCACCTTTAGATGCAGTAAATGGTCTCTTCACTAGTACGGTTTCACCGGGTGAGATAGTGCTGGGTTTCACATAAACCTTGCTGTCGGCATGAGCCTTGAACTTGGATTTCTGCGAGAAATCGCGTTCGCGGACGATCTCCGACACAGGGTCAACGCAGTTGGTCTGTGGTAGCTTGTTACGCACAGGACGTTTCAGTAACAATACTGCTGGGGCCACACCAGTGGTTTGATGAGGAGAGGTGCGATAGTTTCTCAGAATCGCTTGCAGTTCCTTTCTCCAGTTTCTTCCTTCCACTTTAGCGGCTTTAAGACATTTCTTCAGTGTTTTCACGAATCTCTCCACCTCACCATTGGCCCTAGGCCATAATGGGGTTACCTTGCGATGCTTGAAACCAAGCGCATGAGCAAACTTGGCAAACTCTTCTCCGTTGAAAGGTGGACCATTGTCTGATCTAACAATCTTGGGAGTTCCGAATGTAGCAAATAACTGATCTAACTTGGGTATGACAGCACTAGCAGACGTTGACGACACTGGTTCTACGAACGGGAACCTTGAATAATCATCAACCAGTAGAAGTAGGGTTTCACCCTCAACATGCGCAAAGTCGATGCTTACTTCATCAAAGGGGCTGTCAGGAAGAGCTGATACTTGAACAGGCTCTCTAGCGTACGCTGGGGTTACAACTTGGCACGGTAAACAGGCCTTGACCTTTGTTTCAACCATCTTGTCCATGCATGGGAACCACACCTTCTCTCGCAAGAGGGCCTTAGTTTTAACTATGCCCAAGTGACCTTCATGGGCTATGTCAACAATTCGTTCTTGCAGCGCAGCAGGAACTACTAAACGATCAGATTTTAACAAGACAGAGTCAGTGCAGGTTAACTGCTCCTTGACTTGCTCATAGCGGGATAGCTCAGATAGTGATACACCAGGCGGTGCCTTATGCCAGCAACCAGATTTCATCGCAGACATAACCGCTTGTAGCACTGGATCTGTTGTGGTTGCAGATTCTACCTCAGACAATGTTACAGCTTTTGGTACTGCATTTCTTGTAATAAAAGAGATGTGGTCTTCAGACTCGATTTCATAATTGTGAGATTCCAAGTCTCCTACTGGGTGTCTCGAAGCATAATCTGCTGGGTTTGAAGCACCAGGGCGATATTCTACTGTGAATCGGTACTGCTGTAGCTCCATGAGCCAACGTTCTATCCTGGCAGACGGTTTAGAGGTGGGGTTGTTAAACAAGGAAACCAGAGGTTGATGGTCTGTGATTACTTTAAATTCCCCTCCGTAGATGAACAAGTGAAAGCGTTTTACAGCCCAGTAAACTGACAAAGCTTCACGATCAATCTGTGGGTATCTAGCTTGAGTTGGTGTCAGTGGAGAACTGGCATAATGCAAAGGTGTCACTTCATTAGTCGAAACATCTTTCTGGGTCAGGACAGCACCTAGACCAATGGGACTACCATCGACAAAGATGGAAGTAGGTTTCTTTGGATCAAAGTATCCAAGGGTAGTCTTGGTAGACAGTGCCGCTTTTAGGCGTTCGAATGATGACTGTTCCTCCTCAGTCCACTGCCACTTCACTCCATTACAGGTCAGCTGCCGAAGAGGTCTGGTGATTAGTGCAAAGTTCTTGATGAACCTAGAGCAGAATGCAGCCGAGCTAAGGAGGCTTCGTACTTCAGATACGTTGGTCGGTGGCACAACATTTTGAAGAGCTTCAACCTTTTTGGGATCAGGGACATGCCCTTTTCAGAGAACACATGGCCAAAGAAGAGCATAGTGGGAACTCGAAACTGACACTTAGGTAAGTTTATTGTCAGACCACTCTCCTGGAGTTGACGGAACACTTGTCTCAGGTGTCGGTCATGAGTGTCTTTGTCTGCGCCCCCAACATAGATGTCATCACTGATGTTCTTGACGCAGGGTATGCCACGGATTGCATCACCCACCTTCTTTTGGAAGATTTCTGCTGCGCACGAGAGGCCAAAATTGAGACGTTTGTATTGGAACAGTCCAACGTGTGTAGAAAACGTGCTCAGTGCTCTCGAGTCGGGGTGCAATGGGATCTGGTGGTACCCTTGATTTAAGTCGATCTTACTAAACACTTTACAACCGTTCAAGTCCGACACTACGTCATCGATGGTGGGTATGATGTGTCGCTCCCTGATGATAGCTTTGTTTAATGAACGCATGTCCACACAAATTCTAATCTCGTTCGGTTTATTCGGCTTTGGCACAACAACAATTGGCGATACCCAAGGGGTGGGGCCTTCTACGCGTTCAATAATGTCATCATTTTCAAGCTGTTTGAGTTTTTCCTCCACCTGTTTTCTTACATGGAAAGGGACTCGGCGATGTGGCTGTGCCAAGGGTTTGACAGATTCATCTACATGTATGCGTGCTGGTTCACCTTTGTACTTGCCCATTCCACTGGTTAGATTAGGAAATTCCTTGAGAAAATCTGGGGCATCAGGTGGCAGGTTAACAGGAGGTTCGACCGTACTAACAGCTTTAATAAGATTTAATGTTTGTGAGGTTGTCCAGCTAAGTATGGAGCTTGATGAACCCTTTGCGACATAGAATGTTTCCACGGATGAACAGCTACCACTGGTGACAGTAGCTCGGAACTTTCCACGCAGGGTTAGTGGCTTATCAGACATGTATGGATACACTTTGGCACTTGTTTCAGCCAGTTGTGGCTTTGATTTAAAGCCATCAAAGTCTTTCTTGCTTAAGATATTCACGGTTGCTCCTGAATCTGCCATTATGCGGATAGGTGTGTTCATGATCGTGACCTGAAAGATAGGCTTGCCAGCTTGGTATCCCTGTGCACCAATGTTAAAAGTATACTCTTCACTGTTGTCACTATCGACACCGGCTAGAGATGACATTTCAGTGCTTGGAGACTCTTCAACATCTGCAGACCTGGCATGGTGTTTACCTTTTGACGGTTTCTTTGGGTGCGAAGATTTGGACCGATTATTGGGTTTGCCACGACAAACTTTGGAGAAATGGTTCATTTTGCCACAGTTCAAACACTTTTTACCTTGAGCAGGGCAAGTTCCTTGATGTGGGTAATTTCCACCACATAAACCACACCTATTGTTACGCAATCCAGACTTTGGTAGACCACGATAATTCTCTTTCTGCTGAACGTCGGTTGCTTTGTTTCTACCATAGCCCACTGCGTTGGATTGCTGTTTCTCCATCTCAGTGGTCTGCTCGTCGGCGGTTTCCATGGCGCGAGCTACTTTCAATAAGTTCTCAAGATTGAGGCTCTGTTCGATTGCTTTACGTCTCAGGCGAAGCGATGAGGTTCCTTGAATAATCTGCCGCTTAATTTCCAGTTCGGGATCGGCGAATTGACACTTGCGTGCTAACAACTGGAGACGTGTGTAAAACTCGGTAATGTTTTCACCAGATTTTTGCGTTTCCTGACGAAAGGCATAGACGTGATAATCCACACACTTTTGAGGCTCGAAATGATCAGCAAGAGCTTTTACGGCAGTCTTGTATTCGTCACTTCCTTCCGGCGGTTCTGGAACGGTAAGGGTCTCAAACACATCACAGGTTTCTTCTCCTACGTAATGCAACAACATGGCTTTCTTTTGAGATGCTCGGGTAATGTTCATTGCTGTAAACATGTTGTCCAAACGCTTGACATACTTCTCAAAGCGAACTGGTACTGTATCTCTTGGTTGAAGATCAAACTCAGGAAAGGTCGGTAGGTTAATTGCCATTGCAGAGGCTGCTGAAGGCTGCGAAGGCGAAGTGGTCGATGAAGAATCTGCAGGCATTGAATACAAGGCTGATCGGTAGGATTTTCCGGTTGATTTAACACTTCAAACGCAAAGATTTCCGTCTTCGATTACTTGCATCCCATCCTCGTCGCCATTTGTGATGTTTTGAATGGATTTCAAAACAGGATGCAAACGGCTAACAACGATTTAATAAACATTTACAAGAAGACGTGTTACAGCATATGTGGACGCCATAATCGTTTTGCTACCTATCCCCCATAGTTCCTAGGGAACATCCGGTATCAATAACTTCCGGTTTACATGAACATTACATCTCTCAGATTATAAAAATTTCTGTTCCTCTTCGTCTGGCTGGAAAACAGACCGTATAATGCTTATGAAGGAAAATTAGAAAAGTTGACACCAAACACTGGTCTGCAAAGCTTGGTGCCCTGGTCTTTGATGAAGTTAAGGTACAAGAAGGACTTGTTTTTGATCCAGCAACATGGGAGTTTATTGGGTTTACTGATTTTGGTGAAGATGAACACAATACCTCTGTTACCTCTGCTTGTAAGCCAGAGGAAAACATTGCAACCCATGTACTACGGTTTTTCTTTAAAAGGTTGTTTTCAAATTTCGAATTACCTTGTGCTTATTTCCTGACGAGGGGAATAACTGCTCCAAAACTAAATAGAATTTTCTGGCAAGGAGTCAGTTTGTTGCATGGCTTTGGCTTGACAATATTACTTTCCATCTGTGATTGAGCATCTGAAAACCGTACGTTTATATCAATGAATGGAACTAATCAGTTTAAAGGCCGAGTTTCAATCGTTTTTCTCGAAGACCAATATATTTCTTCTCAGATACACCTCACCTGGTTAAGAAATTAAGGAATAATTTGTACAACAGTGGATTCAAAGACAACAGTCCCCGATTCACTCGAACATTGACACTAAACAAACAGTATGTTTTATGGGATCATATATACTCAGTTTATCAGCGTGAAAAAAGACGAAGATTATATGCAACCTCACTGAGAAAAGCCTTGAGCTGGATAACTTAAGCAAAATGAGGATAAAGCTGGCAGTTAATACTCTTTCACAAAAAGTAGCAGATGAGATGAAAGCCCATGAAAATAATGTAACAGAGTCCACTCAACAATATATCACCATGTGTCACAAC